ACAGTCTGGAGGTTCCTCAAAAAACTACAAATAGGTCTGACTGATTATCTCAATTGGTTAGAGTCTGGCCTTGTAACACCAAGGTCAAGGGTTCAGTTCCCTGTACCAGTCAGCTGCCAAAAAAATATAAATAAATAAATAAATTTTAAAAAGATACAAAATATTTAAAAATGATAATTAAAAAACTACAAATAGAACTACCATATGATTCAGCAATTCCACTACTGGGAATATATCCAAAGGAAAGGATATCTGTATATTGAAGAGATAGCTGTACTCCCATGTTTATTGCAGCACTATTCACAGTAGTCAAGATATGGATTCACCTAAGCATCCGTCAACAGATGAATGGATAAAGAAAATGTGGTATATATACACAATGGAATACTATTCAGCCACAAAAAAGAATGAAATACTGTCATTTGCTGCAACATGGATGAGCTTGGAGGACATTACATTTAATGAAGCAAGGTACAGAAAGAGAAACACCACATGTTCTCACTCATATGTGAAAACTAAGAAAGCCAATCACATAGAAGTAGAAAGTAGAATGGCAGTTACCAGACGCTGAAAAAGGGACAAGGGAGGAGGGACAGTAAGAGATTGGTTAGTGGACATAAAAGTACAGCTAGATAGGAAGAATAATATCTAGTGTTCTACAGCAATGTAGGGTGACTATAATTAATAATTTATTGTATGCTTTCAGTTAACTAAAAGAGAAGATTTTGAATGTTTACAACAGAAAGAAATGATAAATGTTTGAGGTAATGAAAAAAACCAGTGGGGTCGGCTGGTTAGCTCAGTTAGAGTGTTGTGCTGATAACACCAAGGTCCAGGGTTCAATCCCTGTGCCAATCAGCTGCCAAAAAAAAAAAAAAAAAGAATCAGTGGTTGCCAGGATTTCAGGGGATGAGGAAGGGAGGGATGGAAGAAGGGAAGGATGAATAAGTGGAACACAGAGGATTTTTAGAGCAGCAAAACTATTCTGTATGGTACTGTAATGATTAATACATGACATGCATTAGGCAAAACCCATAGAACTGTACAATACTAAGAGGGAACCCTAATATAAAATTAACAATGATATATCAATATTGATTCATAATTGTAACAAATGTACCACACTACTGTAACACGTCAGTAATAGAAGAAACTGTTTATGTGGGTAGGGGGCAGGGTACAGGAACTATCTGTTCTTTTGGTTCAATTTCTCTGTAAAACTAAAACTGCCATAAAAATAAACAAAAAAATAAAAACCAAAAAATTAGTTGTTCCAAATGTGAAAAAGACAGATATAAAAGACATCTTAGTTTTGATGGGTTTATTTTTAAGTTAGTGTTTGATCTTGGGAAGAATGTATTAAAACACTCCTAAATGACTCTTATTTAACAAATACATCAAAATGGAAATTACAAACTACAGTGAAAATGAAAGTAATGCATATCGAAAAAGATGCACATTAAGTAGGTAACAAAGGAAAGTTACAACAATATTTGAGTAATTAGGATATAAACTATGAATTACTGATATAACCAAGAAACATGGTGATTCTGGGAGGCCAGCCATTATATCAGAACAAGAAATACTTTTATAATTTGATATATCACAAAATGACAAAATAAGCACACTATTCAAAATATGAAGGTAAGTATCAAGTATCAAGCTAAGAGATGAAAATGTATTGACTTTGATGAGAGGGAGTAGGGCAGTGGGGGTGGGAATGTACAGATGGAAAAATAGGCTACAGTTTTTCAATATAAGCTATTTAACACTACGTAATTTTTAATTCTAAATGTATTATCTTAGTGAAAAGGAAAATTAAATTCATTATAAAAAAGTGAAAAAGGAATAAACAGAGACCACAAATAGAAAGGTATGGAGTCAAGGGAAGATAGAGAAGGGAGTAAATAGGCAAGTTGGTAGGGAGGAAAAGTGGTAAGAGAGACACAGAGAGAAATAAAATACTTAAGGGTAGCTGAGACCAACTGATGGCTGGGAAAGAGTAAAGATTCACGAACTCCTACCTAGGTTCCTAGAGCACTGCTGAATCCAAAATTCTTTCTTAGTGGAGGCATGGATCTTCTATTTCCAACATTAACTCTATAGGTGACAAAATCTACTTCCAGGGCTCCAAACTATTAACTTCTACTTGGATCAATTCCACTTCTATATTTTTTGGCTGTTTTCTTCTGAGCTTCCTATTTGATATTGTTGATGAATCTACTTTTGGAAATTAACTTACAGAAATGTCCTAACTCCTAAGTTAGACAAGTAATTTCTTAATAAGCCTATATATTTTCAAAACTATGCTGCATCTAGCAGACTACCTGCACAAATAAAACATTAAAACATTTTTAGAAGACTTGCTATTTAAAACTTTTTTTTTTTTTTCCTTTTTGTCTTTTTTACTGACCGGTATGGGATTGCAACCCTTGGTGTCGTGCCTGTACCGGGGACCAGCAACGGGATTGCAACCCTCGGTGTTGTGCCTGCGC